ATCTGCAATTATTTCTAACCAAGTGCATGGATCAGAAGATATGGCTAAAGAATTATGCAAATTACTTTGGAACTACAGTGATCACCATTGTGAATACTGTGTAGTTGAAGATATGAGTCAAGCATCCCTTAATGATGAAGAATTCCTTGCAGAATTCTTTGATTCGAAAATGGAAAAGTGATGGTGACAAAAGTAGCCCTTTATCACTACTTTAATAAACAAATTTATTAAAAAAAAACTATGACTACTAAAAGACAAAAGATAGTGCAAAAAAAGTCTCTATAATTGTGACTTTTCCCCACCACTTGTCACAAGTGACAGACAAACTCAAAAGATAAGGCATATAATTTCCAAAGAAGAGGTCCACCTAGCAAGAAGATAATGAAAAATTCGGTGGAGATAAGATGGCCTAACTACCCAACAAAGAAAGGTGGAAAACATTTGTCAAGATAAGATTCCCAAAGACTTCTATAAAAGAAGGCAAGAAGGAAGAAGGAAGATATCTCGAAACAACTTATCTCTAAAACACTCTGAGGAAACACATCTTAGAGAGATATCTTTTGTAATCTATATACACCACTTGTATTCAGAAAAATATTAGATAGCTTGAAAATAGTAAAGCGTGTAATAAGGTAATCACTTATGGAGTTCTAAACTTCATAAAGTGAGTACCAAAGGTATGTAAATATAGTTTGTAAGCATGTACAATTTCAGTTTATGAATATCAAAGTAAAATTTGTTATGTTCAACAAAGCTTTTATAAAAGGATTTCGTTAAGTTTCTAATGATTCCTCCGCAGTACAGATAGAGATTTTAAAAGATTTTCAAAACATTGATTTTGATGGATGTTAGTCATGCCAAAGCACTCGTCTTTGATGAATGGTTTAGGGGGGGAAAAAGGCAGTTTTCTAACAAAATTGTAGCACCTTATGTGTGAGTTATCTTTTAAAATTTCGTTCCAAGTAAGAATTTGATTCTGAAAAGAGTTTGAATAGAGGTGAAAATAGAGACTCTGGATATTGTGAGATAGCGTCTGTGGCAACACGGGTAGTTCTCTAGAGTGAGAAATGCAACCTTAATTGAAAAGTCTTTTGTGGAAACAGATGTGGACCCAAATGATTTCAAAAAACATTTTAAACATTTACTTGATTCAGAAGATTGATTAAGTGCATGCAAAACATCTATAAAAGCATACTGGAGGGAAAGCCTGTGTTTACTTCCATTTGATTACTGTAAGTTATTTACTTATTTTTACATGCTTATGCTTTAATTATTCTGATGAACAATTCACAAGCATCCACATCCATTAATGATAATAATCTCATATTATTTTTAGATGAAAAAGATGTTTCGTTTTTATTTAAATTAGATGAAAAGTCTAAAGATATATTTCCTATTGGCAAAGAAAAAATTGAAGAAATATATAGAGATATAGATTATAATTGTAAAAATAATATAGGATTTGATTCTGTAGGAACAAGTAGAGAAATAAGAAAAGTAGAAGATATTATAACTAAACATAGAGATATACAAGAAGAAATTTCAGAAGAATTAGTTCGAAGATATATAACCAAGAAAGGTCAGCCTAGGATCTTTGAAAAACTACTAAAATATTAAGAATATTTAAAGGTATTTAAAAGATTGAAAAATATAGATATAGGTCCTAATTAACAAATTCCTAAAGATACAGGGAACATCTTATAAATAATTATAGTAAAGGTAAAATAGTACTTCCAATAGAAAAGGCCATTGAGGGCCGCATAAATTTACTTTTTGCTAAAAAGCCGATAAAATTGAATTTTTAAGCACACGTCATTGCATCCACAACTTTTGTTTATTTTTTGACTTCACATTTCACATGATTTATTGACTTTTTATCAAATTTATTTGCTAAAATTTACATCAAACAGACACTAAGTTTATTAATGTGTGACCAATTATGAAAATGAGAAAAAAACTTTGATGATCAACCCGAAATTCACTCAAACTTCGATGAATGTTTGACCATTTATGGAATCAACTCTTTTTCTACTCTTAGATATCGTAACGTAAAAATAGAAGCTTGCCGTTTCATCCATGTGAAAATATCTAGAATCTATTCTTCATTTTTTCAAACTCGTTTTCTTCAAAGTTCATCTTCAATCACATATTTTATTAAACAATCTTGCTACAGTGATAGATCAAATGACGAATTCAATGACAAAAAGAACATGTGTCAACAGTGGTGGATCTAGGCAGTGACGAGTTAGGGCAATTGCCATAGCTGGATTGGCCAGAAAGATTTATTTTTTAATTTTTTTGCTGATAATAGATAAATATTTTAGATTATATATTTAATAATTCATATTAACAACATACATATTTGATAGTATAGTTGGTTAGCTCTTCCACTATTAGATTGGAGGTCTTGTGTTCGAAACTTTTCAAGAGTGATATTTTTTTTTTAAATTTTGTATTTCAATAAATTTTGTCAAAACAAATGCAAGAAAGGTGATTCAACCTTACTAAATTCTTTAAACATAGTGACCACTTTACAATCATTGCACTTATTGATTTTTAACATATAATGTAACAAAATAATATATGTTCAATTTTATTGGTTCAATGCAAATAGGGTTGGGCAAATCTCCCGAATCGAATCGAACCCGAACCCGACGGTTCTTGTCAAATTAAATATCCGAACGGGTAACTGAATTGAGAATCGACGGGTACGGTTCGGTTCTCGGTTCTAGACCAAGAACCGAATCTTTCTAATTTTTTTTATATTGAATAAATCAAATTATTTTAATTTAAATTTTTTCTAAACAAACTAACAATTTCTAAATCCAAATTTTTAAGTGCATAACGTTGTCTCGACTCTCGCAGCCTTGCTGACATTCCAAAATCTATACAATCGTCGACCGACGTTGTGACCTCCGATCGAAACTGTGACCTCCGCCAACCGAAATTTTGATCATAGTGATCATTTGAATAAGGTAGTCTACTAGTCTCTGACATTTCAAAACCATTGAACGTGTTATTAGTTGTATTTATATAATATTATTATAAATGTTAAAAAAATTAATTATAGTATATAACCGAACGGAACGGAACTGAACCGAATGGAACCGAACTCGAACGGTTCCATTTACTAAATACTCGAAAATTTTGGTTCGGTTCGACCCGCGCCCACCCCTAAACGCAAGTAGAAACATTTCAATGGATGCTTTGTCCCTCTTCTTGATTTTTTTTTTCTTTTTTTCTTCTCTAATCAATTGATTTGAGAGTTTGGTCAATTAATAATGATTGATGAATTTGCAAGAAAATTGACCTTAGTGTCATGAGGAATCTTTCAACAAAACTTATTTAATTAATAAAATGTTCCATTTTTCGTTCACAAAAAATCGATTACAAAAAAGTGAAATCATACAAGCCATAAAATTGATATAAGCACATAAATCATTTCAATTTTGTTAAAATATAATAATGTTTGTTTAATTAACATTAATTGGAAATTGAATATTGGCATTTTATTAATATATATTGCCTATTTAATTGAAAATTAAAATAGAACATTTTACAAATTATGGAATGATTTTTTCATTCAAAATGAAAGTTCGTAATAGGGGTGAGCATTTTAACCGGAATCGAAATTGAACCGAAATCAGAGGTTCAGATTCGAATCTCGAAAGAAATAAATAGGAACCGAAACTGAGAATCGAGAACCAAGTGGGTCTGGTTCAATTCTTGGTTCTTGAATTGGAATCGTGGATGACCGAATGGAACTGATATTTTTATAATTTTTTATTTTTCTAATTACTAGATTGTATAAAAAAAATTGCAAAATTTAATAATTATAACTTAAACACTAAATAGGCTGCTCAATTCAGCCCAAAGAAAAAATCCATTCCAAAATTTTTCGCCCATTTTAATTACCTAAGTCCAAATACATATATATTGCCCAAAAGCAATTTAAGTATAATCCAATAAAAACATGTAAAGATAATAACACATTTTTCCTCTTTCAATCACTAGAATCCCTTGTCGCCCTTCTTTCCCAATTTCCTCTTTTCATTTTCTTCTCGTCAACATTACTCTTGCTACAATAACTTCGTCTATTGCACCAACACCACAGTAATTTTTGTAACTCTTCATACATACTTATTTTTCCTATTATGTTATCTTCAAGTTTTTATTTGAATTTTTTTTGGGTATTGATATGATTACTTCAAAAAAACTCAATTTTTTTAGGTCACCGTTTTTTCTTGACTCTTTATGCTGGTCTTATACTCTTATTAAAATTCTTTTAAATTCTAACTAGTTTTTAATGTTCTTTTAAGACTGGTTTTATTAATTCTTTGTGTAACTTTTAATTCATTAAGGCTATTTATGTCTCGGATGATTAGTCCATTAATGTCAATTACTAAATCTATGACTTGATGGATAGTTTGTGAATAATTTGTCTAATTACATGATTGGATTTATTAAATGTGCATTCAAAAAAATGTTATAGGTAGATGGTTCGGGTTTGGGTCCAATAATTACGTGGAATTGAATGGATCTATTTACGAAATACCCGAACCGACCCACTCGGCGCCTACCCTTAGTTCATACCTAATTCTAGTTCTAATGGTATATCTAGTTCTTCTAGTTCTAATCCGAATAATTTTTTTAATATTATTTAATTAAATATTAATAAACAATCCCGCTATAACGGACGTTAACCACCGATAGTAAACTTTCAACGCTCGTGATTCGCCCTAACTGAATTCGTCCCTGTGTCAATACATAATTCGACAACTAAAAGAAAAATCATAACACCCAATATCACTCCGCCACAACACATTGTCACCTCACCTCCTGTCATTAACTTTGGCCAATGAGCATCCATTGTTGAATTCACAGCTTTTAAGTTTTCAATAGTAGATTTTATCGGTTTTTATCAAAGTTTATTAAAAAATAAATAATTTTGATTAAATTAAACAAGGGAGTAAAGAATATACTGACCATTCCGCCCCTAGTGCCCACACGAAGTCGTTGAAATCCCCATCGAGTCCCTTCTAATGAACAACAACCCACCACCCTCAATTCCCATCTCCCAATTGCGCATCCCCAATCCCGTGAATCCTAGATGCTGTTACGACACAGTCAGTGTATCGATCGCAAGTGGTTCAGAACGAAGATAGCCGCGGTCAATTTTGCCTACGTGGGGAAATTTTTATAGTGGAGATGCTCTTAGCTATTAAAATGAACACTTCAAACAAGATTTGATTTTGGTTTGAAAAAATTATTTTCGAGGAAGAAGAAGACAATGTCGGCAACTGCAGCGAAACCGGGCGTTCCGAAGTCCGGCGCGATCTCTAAAGGCTACAATTTTGCTTCTAACTGGGAACAGGTTTGACAATTTTGACTTTTGCATTGAATTGATATGATAAATTAGTGTAGAGATCGTGATTACTTGTGAAAATTGTGTAGTTTTTCTGAAAAGATCCGAGCCCGGATTTTTTTTATTCTGTTTATAAGAAATGGATCTGTTGCTTTTACTCTTTTCATGTCGATTTTATTGGGTTTGTTTGCTTTTACAATTTTTGTTCCAAAGTGAAATATTTTGTTTTAGGCTCCTGGGAACTAGTTGGAGGCAAATAACGGATCTGGAGCCATTATAGTTAATTTGGGCATGTAATCAACGACGGGAATTCTTGTTTTCCCTTAAAAATCTATGGTTGCATTGCCTCCATTGTCATTTCTTTGAGGACGAAAAAATCCTCCTTTTTTTAGTGTTCATGATAGTTTTTCAGTGCATGACATTTCCTTGTTTCATAATTTTGTAGAATGCTCCATTGACAGAGCAACAGCAAGCAGCTATTGTTGCACTATCTCATGCTGTCGCTGAGCGACCTTTTCCTCCCAACTTGGTGAGTCTTCCTTGTACATTGGTTAATCGTGATACTCTAGTGTAGGCAAAAATAAACTACTTTTGAAATTTATTTTCCTTTTTTCCCCCCTTTATATTGAGGCAAAGGAGGAAGTTGCGAAACAGGAAAATGGTCTGACAATCTCGACCAAGCACAACACTGCAGAAGATTCAGGGTCCATTGAGACAGTCTTGGTCAACACAAACCAGGTTTTCGATCATCATATGTTCCTGATATATGAATCAGAATGCTCAAAAATTAATAAAATCATGGGGAATTTGGGAAGTCAATTATAATGAAAGTGACTTGAAAGTTAATGGAGAGATGGTTCAGGAGCTATTATTTAATCTAATTATCTCTCCTGGAATAACTAATGTTGATTGCATAAAATAGAATATATTCAGAACATTCAGATTGTACCATTTTCTTTTTTGTTTTGATGAAATCTTGCCCAGTAGAAAAAACCTGTTTGAAAATACAGAAATGGATTTTAATACGTAGCTAATAAACAAACTTGCTGAACTCATTTTCTGAATATTTCATTGACTATCATCATTTAGATTTAGAAATTATGATTGTAGCAGGTCATTCAAAACAAAATTCACCACCTTCTTTGCTGGCATGCAGAATTAATTCGTACAATTTCATGTATTTGAAAGTCATCACCCTTCTTGAGACAACCCACTGGTTGAATAACTTAAATGCTTTTGCTTATCACTTAGCACATGTGAAAAAATTAATGATTCAGAGTTCATAAAATAATGTAATATATTTACACGGGTAATATTTGTTCATATGAATATTTTATATCTCTAAATATTGGATTAGGGAGTGAGCCATTTGCTTTGTCTGATGTTGGTTTCAAGACCTATAGTTTGTCAAACATGAATTTCTGAGTGCTGCATGCATTAAAAAATTTATAGGATTACAATCAATAATTTAGTAATTCTTTATCCGTTCTGCATTGCTCTTAATTTATCTTCTTTATTCATCCACCACCTTTTATGCTGTTAATTCTAGAATTTCACTATGCCATAATTTTGCCCCATTAGATGCTTATATTTTGGCTTATGGTTAAGATAGACTTCCAGGGAGGGGAGATAGGGAAGGAGGAGAACTTATGTTTACATTTTGATGCAGCATAGTATATCAAACAAAAGAATATAGAGCAGATGAAGAAAGAGAGAGTAGAAGAAATTAGAGGAAGAAAAGAATAAGTTTTCAATTTCGGAAGCCTATCTAATTTACCATCACACTAGATCTCATGGTTAGACAAATTTTTACCGGAGGGGTGTCTTAAAGTCGATGTTCCAATAGCTTTTTCATAGTAGTTCAATTCCTATGAGATAGGAGATACTTTTCAGCAAACTCAATAGATAGTCATACTATATTGACAGTATAGATGCACATTGAAGTCTAGTTTTCTGTCTAAGTGTCTAACTCCTAGCTCGAATTCCCCACCCCCACCCCCCCACCCCCAAAAATAAATAAAAATAAAAATAAAAGTAAAAATAAAATAAGTCTTTTACTATTAGTTCCATCTTTATAAAACTTGTTTGCCTTCAACTCATTTATTCAATTTTACCTATTTGATAATAAGATCTGATGTCCTCCTTTTATCCTTCTCTAATATTTTCTTTGTTGCAGTTCTACAAATGGTTTACTGATCTTGAAGCAGCCATGAAATCAGAGGTTTGCTTGGTTTTTCCCTTTTAACATATTTGTTTTAGGGAAAAATGATATTTGGCAGGATTAAACTGTTTTTTCAAATTATTATTTTTTTTATCTTTGTGTGCGTAGACAGAAGAAAAGTATCAGCATTATGTGAATACCTTAACAGAGCGGATACAGACCTGTGACAGTATACTTAATCAGGTTAGAATTACTATATTATTATTTATTAGACTAACTGCATTTTCTCCTTTGTTGATTGTGTTTAAGAAGTTATTTCATTCTCATTTACGTTTATAAATAACCTATGTGTGAACTGACTTGCTGCAGGTTGATGAAACACTCGAGTTATTTAATGATCTACAACTGCAGCATGAGGCAGTGGCAACAAAGACAAGAACTCTGCATGATGCATGTGATCGACTGGTGCGTTTGTGCTTCTTCTTAGCCTCCAACATGACTTACTTATATATTCATGAAGAGCTACTTATAAGGTGGTGCGTGGTCTTGGAACTTTGATCAACAAGACCTAATGTTGTTTGCAATATATTTTAAAGGTTCTCTTTACCCGTACAGTTTTTGTTATTATATGCTAGTGCTTAGATATTTTGGTTTGTAGTTGATAATTATTGTAGGATCTTTGCGCAAAAAAAGCCAGTTTAACATTCAACTCACAACTGTGCATAGAATGAATGTCACCATATGTTCCGTTATTTTTTTTGCAGGTTATGGAGAAGCAAAGGCTTATTGAGTTTGCTGATTCACTTCGCAATAAGCTCAACTACTTCGATGAACTGGAAAATGTAAGGTTTTGATGCCATTTACCTAGATATTCTTTTTAATGCCGCATTGTTTGTAGACTAGCTGTCTGTCCTTGATTATTTCATAAAATTTGTTGATACCCTCAAAAAATGTGAACCGGTGATGTATGCACAAGTTTACACATGATACCTGTAGCATGTAGAAATTTGATAATATGGAAAGGGCTGACTACTTGCAGTGTTTGTGCCAGTTTAAACAATGTCTTTAGAATATTTAAGCTCTACATTCATCTGTATTAGAAAAAATTCAAAGTTTCATTTGAAACTTAAAAACTAGACTTAATCTCGAGATATGATGTTTGACAATTTTGCAGGCTTCCTTTTCAACGGAAAATATATTGGTCATTTTAAATTCTGCTTGTGTTTGATGTATTCTTTTCTCTTATCTGGTAATTTGTCAGGAATTCATAATTAATGTTTTGGACTAATCTACATTTGTATAGATCTTCTTGTTACCTATGCCAAAATTATGTGCATAGCTCTTGGTCCCAGTATTATGCGAAAGGAAATCTTCGGCCTTCTCATTTGCTCATAGAGGATTGCTTACTTCCTCACACGTGTTTTAGACTTTTAGTAAATCCTTTTCCTCTAAGGCTGTGTTTGGTAACTAATTTAAATTCCATTTTCCTTCAAATTGAGGAATTCATTTTCTTGGGGGCGGGGGGGTATGGTTTTTGGTTTTCCAGGCAACATTTTTTTTTTCCCAATAGAAACAAATTTTATCACCAATTGTAAAAGAGGATATCACTTAGTGACAATTTTTATGCAAAACAAAGCCAAACGTACCTCAAAAAATATTTTTATTTCAACATTTTCCACATGAAAAATTATACCAATCAAATACAAAAATTGACAATTCCAAGAAAACAATTTCTAGGCAATTCAATTCCCTGGAATTCGTTTTTTTTCCACCCAAATTTCATCTTTGCAATCAAACAGATCCTAAATAAAAAAAGGTGAACTCAAACCATCACTACACAATAACATACGGACCAATGAGCTAATCAACTATTTGAAAAACCCGACCTTTCACTTCTGCAGCATTTTAATATTTTACATCTTGAATCCTGTGTTATGACTCGTCATCTCAATTATCATCATTATCCATTTGGTTTATCTTGCTTAATTTTGTTATCATGCCTTTGGGGGTACTCTTCTTGTTAGTTCTCTGTCAGATAATTCGCTACAATGGCAATTTGTTTTGCTTAATTTAGTAGCTACATTTCTGACAATTGCTGGGTGCTCTGTTAAAAGACTGAAATTTCATGCTTTTTAAATGTTCTTCTGTTGAAACTCTATCAGCTATGCTTGTATTGAAACTGTACAACCCCCCCCCCCCCCCCCCCAAAAAAAAAAGAATCATTTCTTTCTTTTTCATGTTTTCGAATTTTGATGTTCTCTACGACATTTCTTATATGATTCAATTTCTAGAAGGAACTTTCACTCGTATTAAAACTGTTGCACATGTAACATGTTCCGATTTTCGTGGTTCTCTCTGTACGATTGCGCAGGTTGCTACCAGTTTTTATTCTCCAAACATGAATGTGACACACGAAAATTTCCTCCCATTGCTCAAAAGACTCGACGAGTGCATATCGTAAGTGACGTTATTTTACACTTTAGTTACTGCTTCCAATTTATTGCACATGGCTTTAGTGAACTTACAGATAGCTCATATATCTGCTAAGGTGTTTCTTACTGTAGAAGTAAAAACTTGTTGCTTATGTACAGCATATTTACCATAAATTTTACCCCGTCTTTGAATTATGCGGGATCTCGAATAAAACGGAAAGGCACTGGCTTCAATCAAGCTTTGCTATTATCTTATCAAAATATATATGTATAACCTGGCATCTAAACAAAATGTATGATTTTTCTGAGTATAGTTATGTTGAGAGCAATCCGCAGTATGCAGAGTGCAATGTTTACTCGGTTAAATTCCGACAGCTTCAGGTATGTATGAGACTCATTTGCAGTATATGTGAAGCAGTCATGCAAAGTAGCAGCTTTTTGCTTTAGTAGTAGATCAGACATTTTTGTCTTTAATTATTAATGAAATTAAAATTTTGGACAGTCTCGAGCACTAGCAATGATTCGTTCTCATGTACTCTCTGTTCTCAAAAGCACTTCTTCTCAGGTAGAGCTCCTTCACTTCACTTTCACTATAATTTTCTTTTATGTGAAATAGTTAATCTGTTGAGCAACTTTCTTTTATTTTTGTTTACTACACTAGGTCCAGGCAGCAATAAGAAGCAGCGCCCGCGACAAAGTGGCTGTTTCTGAGGGCGTGGAAGCATCAGTCATTTATGTCCGGTTCAAGGCAGCTGCAAATGAGGTGAGTTCTCATTGCTTCTTTTTGATAACAATCTTCAGCTGAATAAAGCAACTGTCAGGAGACTGAATTTCCTTTTCTGATCTAAGCTTTGTGGTAAGCTCAGTTCACTATTTGTTGAGTCGGTTATACTGAAATAGCATTTTGCAGCTTAAGCCAGTGTTGGAGGAAATTGAAAGCAGAAAACCAAGGAAAGAATATGTTCAGATGCTCACAGAATGCCACAAACTTTACTGCGAGCAGAGGCTTTCCTTGGTGCGCAAAACTGCACCTCTTCCTCTAGCCCTACCTTCTACTATAACTAATGTGTTTAATTCATGTCCATTTAGGTGGTCAGCATATATATTTTCATTATTTTAACTTCTTTCTCTTCACATAATCTAGGTGAGAGGCATAGTTCATCAACGGATCTCTGAATTTGCCAAGAAAGAGGCATTGCCTTCAATGACTAGATCTGGATGTGCATATTTAATTCAGGTAGTGTTGAAAAAAGTTATTTAGCATTTGTAAATTGATATTTCTTTGCATTGTTAAATATATGATTTATGAATTTGTTGAATGTGAAATATAAATAAATATAATCCTTCTCTTTAACGAAATAAGCTTTTAGATGAGATAATTCAACGTGCTATTGAAGCAATGTGAAGCGAAGGTCCTAGATTCAAGTCTCACCACCACTTATAATAAAAGTTCCATGTGTCGCAGCTTTGATAAAAAATTAAATTGGCCTCAGAGTGAGGGAGCGTATTGAAAATATGAATATAAATAAACAAGTTTCTTTTAGCTGATGTGCTTCAACAGTATCTGAAGATGGTTGGATAATAAAGATGGACATGTACAATAGGAAAAATCTCCAATTAATGTCACATATTTGAAGTAGCGATGCCTCTATGGAGAAATTCCCTGCGACTTATGAAGTTGACAAAGAAATCACATTTTGCCTCTTGATTCTCCATGAGTCCAAAGACGAGGATGCCTCCACCCTCTCATGGTTTCTTATATAATGGAAGTAAAATAACAGTCTGGTTTCAAGATCATGATTATGCTTCATTTTTTCCTTCTTTCTTCTCTCTTTGTTGGAACGAAAAGTTTTGAGAGTAACAATGACGGCATGCTGAAGTCATAGACTATTTGATGGAGATCAAGATATAGATAAAGATACAGTTAGAATTATAATAAAATTTTATAAATGGAGTTCAATTCCCATTAGATTATCCATTGATCATTTTCGATATTTAGTTTACAAGAAAGATCACCCTCCGTGGCATGTGTTCAGTCATATATTGTTATCAAGGTTCCATACCCACATTTGGTCAAGAAAAAAGATCGACCTCCTTAGAATATGGAGTTTTTGTCTACCTCTTCGTCATCAAGTTATCCCAGGCGGGAAAAATGGAGATCAAGATATAGATAAAGATAGAGTTCAAATTATAATAGAATTTTAGTTTAATTTCAATTAGATTAGATAAGATTAGTTTTGATATGTTGATACAATTATAGTTTATTAGAAATTTGTTTCTTTTTAACTTTTATTTAGTTTACAGTTATGCTACATGTATAACCGGGGTTGACTATCACACACATGGGAGGGGGGTCCATGCTGAATAAAAAATCGTGGGCTCTCCTGCCTGTGAGTACGTTGTCAATCGGAGTTGTCAATTCTGATTGTATAACTAGAATAATTCTTCAGTTTATTTGCTCTATAAATAGAGGGGTTTATTCAATGTAATAGTCAACCTGAATATGCGAATAAAAATTGATTTCCTTTGCTTTCAATTCTTCTCTTCTTTACACCTTTTTCTGTCTATTCCTTGTTTCTGTCTATAAGTGACATTTTAACGCATAAGCCTAACATACAAGTAGAATGTGTTGTCATGTTTGACCTTGGATGTTTTTCATTTTACTTTCTCTAGAAGGTGAAACATGATACTCTGAATAATTTTCCATTTTGAAGATATTATATGTGATTTTTTTTTATTTTTTATTTTTTAACTCGTGAGAGTTACTGATTCTGTCATGCTAAATCATGCTGAATTTCTTCCATTAATTTTTTCATATTGAATGCATTTATATAAATTGCTGTGAAAAGAATATAAAGAATGTTTAAACTGCAGGTGTGCCAACTTGAGCATCAACTCTTTGATCATTTTTTCCCCTCATCTTCAGAGGATGTATCAAGTTTGGCTCCCTTGACAGATCCTCTGTAAGTTTTTGGAATTGTCTTGTGGTTTCTTTTCTGCAATTTAAAATCTTTTTGCAGAAGTGTAAAGGAGAATATGCAATTCTTATGCCTTTTGTTGAATAAGTTTGACTTTAAATAGATTACAGGAAATGACTAAATAGGAAACTAATTAATTGGCCTGATTTTAGGATCTGACATTATATCCTACAGCTATACATTCTATACATGGTAAATAATATAAATAGAAACTAGATTACAAGTAAAATCAAATCTCCAATCAAATCAAATCAAATCTTCCAACACTTTTCATCTTCAATAACCAACAAAGGCTGATCAACAATTTACAAAGCCACAAATACCCTACTAACGCTCTCATACTATTGTAATTCAATGTTAAGTGGACATGACTCTTATTATTTCTTAAGCACTTCACTCATGTTAGGCGAAAGAGCTACAGCAGCTCATCTTTACTATTGAGCCTTTACAGAATCAATATCAAATAAGTGGCTTTTATCATGGAAGGGATTTGAAAATCGAAATGAACAAAAAGAGAAATTTGGTGTAACCTGTATTACTGGGATATTGAGAGAAGAATGATTTGCATCCAATGTCCAATCATCAAGTTAAGCAGATAACTTTTGTTGCAATTTAAACTAGTCTTTTATTTTTCTGAAATATAGCCATGTCCTTAGTGTAGATGGATTGTGTCGATTCATTTCTTGCATTATGTCTGTCTAGTTTGATAGGTTCATTTTCAAATCTAATGCCTGATTCTAAGTTTCTGTTGACCTGTTGCAGGTGCACCTACTTGTATGATACATTACGCCCAAAACTTATTCATGAAGCAAACTTGGATGTTCTTTGTGAAATTGTTGATATCCTTAAAGTCGAAGTTCTAGGAGAACAGCTATCCAGACGAGGTGAGTCATTAGCTGGGCTACGCCCAACATTTGAGAGAATCTTGGCAGACGTTCACGAGCGATTGACTTTTCGTGCTCGAACCCACATACGTGATGAGGTAACTACACTATGCGAGTGTTTTAAATGATTTGGCACTTTCCAGCCTGTGCTACTGGCACAACATCTACTAGCATTTATATCATTAAGAGACAGAGACAGAGACAGAGATCTTATCTTATAAATAAATATTGATGTAAATGAAAATTAAATTTACCCGTTTATAGTCGCACCTAAAACATCCAGCATCTTTGTATGGGTAATTTTGGAGGTTTAAAATCTGGTGGGCCAGCCTGAATCCGCTAGATCTGCCTGGTAAAAGTGACAAATGATAAATCGTAAAAATAGAAATTAATTTCTTCTCATTGTTTCTCCTCGTCCCCCATTTGCAATGGTGCTTTGCTCTCCCCCTTCCCTCTCTAAGGCAGAAGAAAACAATAACACATAGATAACGAGAAGAAAAATCTCAAAAACCTAAAATAAAAGGTCGTGAAGCTACTTGCCTTATGTATCTTGTCACTGACAGTCTGCCTCTTAAAAGCCAGTTGGACAAGGGGTTTATAGCACTTCATTTGTGGGTGGCTAGGGAATGCTCGATTCACTTGCCTCACTTTTTTCTTCTCTGTTTTCCTTTTTTCTAGCTTTTAGTATTTGGTCGTATAAAAACAGCATAGAAATAACCCCCTGAACACGTTCCAGTCTATAGAAAGCCACCCACGTGGCCAATAATAAAAAGTCAATGATGATAAGACGAAAGATCACACCTAAGCCTTAAGGCATGTGTCTCGGTAGTCCGTACTTAAGGTTTGATGAATGACTTTCAATATGTAAGCTTTAGACTCAATGAAAGCCTAACATGAGGAATGTAAAGCCTAAGCACTTTTAAAGCAATATGTTGTGGTCAATGTTGTAACTAATTCTACTTTCTTATGCCTTGAAACACACACACACACACACACACACAAAACAAAACACATAATTAAATAAATTTATCGATTTCGAATAAACATAGTGATTTTGGTCCAGTTATTTGGATATCAGTGTGTATAAGATTATCCTAAGGTTCCAGCGAATAAATTACGCCGAGTTTTGAGGGGTAACATTATATCCAGGGGTTTCTGTGAATTGGCGACACATTTGAGGTGTGGTGGTGGTGGCCAATCAACAGTTGAGAAGTATATGGGTTTAAATGGAGAAGGGTCAGTTTTTTAGATTGGATTTGAAAATGCCTATGATCATGAGGATTGAGATTTCTTTGATTTTGATCAACAAAAATGAGGATTTGTTTTTAGATGGAGGAGTCAGATCAATAGTTGTTTTAATAAGGTTTTAATTTCACTTTTAACAATGGTAGTTTGAGAGGCAATCAGGCTTTGAGAGGGTTTATACACGGTAACCAGTTGTCGTGTTTGGTGTTTTAGAACCTTCAGCAGATAAGGCAAAAGCGATTACTTTGTTAGAGGACTTTGAGGTAAGATGGGATATGGTGTCAGTCTCACATTTGCAATGCTAGATAACACTGTTCTTTTTGATAACTGAACACTGTTCTTTTTGATAGCTTCACAGGAACATTCATATCCTGCTAAGCAGTTTGGAAGTCTAACCTTATGGGGACTTCAGATTTATATGAGCGAGTTAGATTGTGGTGATTAATGTTAATCAATGTTCAATTCAAACTGTGGCATCTATGTATTCTTGTTCAGTTGGCTTATGACCTTTAAAATACTGTGGTTTTCCTTTGAGTCTCCAGAACCTGAGAAAAGAGGAAATGATTAGCTGAGCGAAAAAGACTAACTCCCATTCACTTCCAGTTTCCCAGTATATGCTGATCTCTGGAATGTCAATAAAGGTGGCTGCTTATCTGCAAAAGGCAAAGAAAAGAGTTTTCGTTGGAAGGTGGGGGAGATGGAAATGGAAAAATAATTTGGTAGCTTGGGAATTCATCAATGGAAGTGTAGAGGGGATTTGGTGTGGGTAATATCAAAATGAAAGAGTTTTAAAAGGCTTCTTTAAGAACCCTTGGAAGTGTATTTCTCAAAGTTTATTTCTGTGATTTAGTTCATCACCAAAATGGGATGTGGGGATGGAAATAGGATCAGATTTTGGTAGATGAATAGTTGGGTACAGGAACATTCATATCCTGCTAAGCAGTTTGGAAGTCTAACCTTATGGGGACTTCAGATTTATATGAGCGAGTTAGATTGTGGTGATTAATGTTAATCAATGTTCAATTCAAACTGTGGCATCTATGTATTCTTGTTCAGTTGGCTTATGACCTTTAAAATACTGTGGTTTTCCTTTGAGTCTCCAGAACCTGAGAAAAGAGGAAATGATTAGCTGAGCGAAAAAGACTAACTCCCATTCACTTCCAGTTTCCCAGTATATGCTGATCTCTGGAATGTCAATAAAGGTGGCTGCTTATCTGCAAAAGGCAAAGAAAAGAGTTTTCGTTGGAAGGTGGGGGAGATGGAAATGGAAAAATAATTTGGTAGCTTGGGAATTCATCAATGGAAGTGTAGAGGGGATTTGGTGTGGGTAATATCAAAATGAAAGAGTTTTAAAAGGCTTCTTTAAGAACCCTTGGAAGTGTATTTCTCAAAGTTTATTTCTGTGATTTAGTTCATCACCAAAATGGGATGTGGGGATGGAAATAGGATCAGATTTTGGTAGATGAATAGTTGGGTAATGCTTTATTTTATATCATCTTTATCCTAGACTGCAATCTCTGTACAATACCTTGAGACTTAATAATATGTTCTCATCAATTTTTTTCATGATACTATAAAATTAATATCACTGACAATATTTCCTTGATCTAAAAGATGGTGAGATCTCATATTTGTCCTCCTTTTCAAGCATTCTTGAGGCGACTTTACCAAACCATATTGGTTACGGGGCTGAACTCTACTGGGTTTTATTTTCTTAGAATCCTAATTTTAAGATCTAATTTGTTTACCTATGTTTTAACTTTACACTTTCACTTGGAGATCTTGAATCCCTTAATAGATTAAGGTGTTCACCTGTTTGGTTTCTCACGGGAGGACTTATACTTGTGATTTTGGTCAAAGGAAATGTCCTCAATCATCTCTCTCCTTGGAGTGTGATGTTTAGGGGGCATGCTGATTGTATAGATAATTTGTTTTGAAAATTTAATTGCTAGACTTTTATGGTGCTGGTTAACAGAAATTGGTTGCAAAGATGGTAGGTTGGGATAAGTTGTGTGGACAGCTTTTGATTTAGCTATTTTGTCAGCAGTATCAACATAAAGAAATTCTCGAATTCTTGAGGGAAAGAAACAAGTGATTATTTATTTGTTAGATAGAAGTTTTTGGCTTCTTATGATTTCTATGTCTTAGGAGTTAAAATATGTGAAAACGACGTCTAATTGTTTGTGGCTGGCAGAATGTGTTGTATTCTTATATATTTATTTTGTATTGTTGTTACAAAGGACTTCCTGATTGCTTATCAATTTTAACTTCATGCTTATAATTAATAAATTATGTTTCTTCCCGAAGGAAAAAAAAATGATTTAAGTTCTCTGTGTTTTTATCATCCTATTCATGACATAAGTTCTCTATTTATTTGGTTGAATTGTCCTTGAAGTAACAGTGGAGAAACCACTGTTTTCTGTAACTAGTGATCTATGCTTGTTTCCTTTCTAGATTGCAAATTATCTTCCTCTGGATGAAGATCTAGACTATCCCGCCAAGCTGGAGCAATCAACTGAGGCAAAGTTGGAAGTATCATCTGTAAGTTCTTTTGCCTTGCTTTTCTTTTCTTTATTTTTTCCTTATGGTCTACCAGAGTATACAAGGATATCTGAACTTGTTTCATTGTAGTTTTTTTAGTTTTTATTTTTATATACCTTGATAGAACTTGTAAATCAACTTACTGTGGAGCATAATGTTCATGATTTTTTTTGTCTTTCGCCTGATGGAGATTTTAGATTGAACTGTAAGGATTAGATATGCTATATTCTGTATCAATATCTAAACATGGTTGCTGTTCTTTTTTTTTTTTCCTGGCTCCTTTATGGTCTTGTACCTTGCTGATATATTTCTGTTGCTTCATATAGATTGAACCATTTTTAATAATTATTCTCTCCCTTGATATCTAACTACAGAGTGATCAAAACTCCCCAGATGTTTCCAGGACTTGGTACCCTCCACTTGAGAAAACAATAACCTGTTTGTCAAAGCTCTATCGTTGTCTGGAGCAAACAGTTTTTACTGGGTTGGCCCAGGTATTCAAGTAGTCTTTCCCCTTTTTATTAATTTATGAAAACTGCGTTTTAGGTTGCTCCTATTTATATTCACACTTTTTTCTACCAGGAAGCAGTTGAAGTTTGCTCTTCTTCAATCCAGGTGAGTGGTTGAGCATTTCTGTTCTTGTTCTGGGACATTGGGAAGGGGAGGGAGAAAATATTAGAATCCAGAACTCTCAACCTCGTCTACAGTCGCAAAATTGGGCTGTTGTTTGGCTTCTGTTAGAAAATGATTTCACTCAAATGCCTTCCTACTTCTGGAAGTTCTTAAGAACGTCTTTTGTTTCCCTATATGTTGATTCCCTTATTCTTGACTGATTATTGTCAATGAAATATTGGTTCTTGATCTTGAATTAGCCTTATTATTATCTTTTTTGAGTTAATTTGTTGTGCATGTATTATTGGTCAACTATTGCCATTTCTTTTATTTGTTACAGAAAGCTAGCAAACTAATTGCAAAAAGATCATCCACAATGGATGGACAACTTTTTCTCATAAAGCATCTTCTGATCCTCAGAGAGCAGGTTTTGTTTTCTCTTTAACCAAACCATTGATTACAATCGGAATTAGCTCTTGTTTGAGCCCCATTATCTTAAAACTTATTTTTTTCAAACTCATTTTCAACCACACATTCTCCTAATAAAATATTTTGCACATAAACTCAAAAAAAAATTTCATAATTTTTAACCACATTTTCTTCAAAAATCCACTATTATAAAACTTATTTCAACGAAAAATGGGGTTCAAACATGGGCGTAATATATCTCTATGTTTACTTATTATAGAATTTACTGTTCAGATTGCGCCCTTTGACATAGAATTCTCAGTCACACACAAAGAGCTTGACTTCTCTCATTTGCTGGTTAGTTAATCTAGACTGAAACCACTGAAGCTAATGCCTTTACTTTTCGAGTTACTGTGCATGATTTACCAATTTTAAGGCCCATTATTATAATTGATTTGCATAGAAAAAAATAAAAAAATTCATAGGCATTGTTTTTCAATATCTGGGAATTTCTCTGCAATAGACAATGAACTAGTCTCTGGTCATTGTTGCTGTAGTTTAAGAAATAGAATCACAATTACTTGGGAACATGATTGAAGTCACTATACTTCTTCCACTGAACAGCTAAGAAAAGCGGAGCAATTTGATTTTCTTCTTTTTCTTGAAAGGTTCGGTTTAGAATTACCTACAAATATTTTCATTTAAGTTCTTGTTTACCTCAATTCTTGTGCAGCCCTGGTGAGTATTTCTCATTCAACCAGGATGACGCATTGGAAGAAAAGAAATATGCCTATTCTCTTTTAAAATAACATTAGAGCTTAAATGGCCACATGCTTTAGGATTGCACGATTTTCCTAGTTTATGGAGAAGCAGCATTATTTTACACTTCAAGGTCTGAGACATTATGTCAATGGCTAAGTATATTGGATGCTTTGATTTGTTGGAAACAAAATCATTAAACAGTCCTGTAAATGTAATTTAGAACACTTCCCAAAGTAAATATGTTGATCTTCGTGATTTCTTAAAATAAAAAATCAAATGAGAATAAGATATTGTCAGATTCTAGAGCTTTCAATTTTTTAAATTATTTAAAGTATGAGGATATACATGATCATTGTTGAGATGACATTACCTCTATTATGTAGTCTGATATATTTATAATCTGGTATTTGCAGTTAATATTTTAACTGATCTTTTTCTTGCTCATAAAGATCCTGAATATTCTTATGTCTGGTGATGGTATTAATCATCTTTAATTAAACCATTTCCAGGAACATTTGAGACGGATTCTTAGGGGTCAGGCCTCACTATTTGATTGGTCAAGATCAACTTCCTTGGCAAGAACACTCTCTCCACGAGTTTTGGAAAGTCAAACAGATGCCAAGAAGGTATTCTAATTCCTAGTCATCAGTTAGTACTTATCAGTCAAATGACTTTGATATCTGTTGATTACCTGTCCTGTGCCAGTCATGCTTCCAAGTCCATATGAATTTTGTTGTTTACTTATATGAGTTTGGATTGACATAGATAAATGTTTTATTTTCTAGCTGCAAATCAGCTTTCTCCAGATTTTCTTGTTTGATTGTATTCAAATGGGAAAAAAGATCAATTTTTGCTGTGCATTTAATTAAAGGTTATGTATATTCGGAGCTGAATATCTTGTCAGCCAAATTCAGGATGAAGGGTCTGTTACATAATCATTGCCATCACTTCCTGATGCAGGCAGTTTGTAAAGAATTTTTCATTACATTTCTACATTAGGATTTGCAATTTAGTTGAGTATTGATTCCAATTCCTTAGTATTGTTATTTTGGAACCATACTTTATAGTATAATTTGATCATTTTGAGTTTGCTTACTTTCAACCTCTCTCTCTTTTCTAACTCAAAACAAATATGTTTATTGTCACACATATTGAATTACATCTTGTTTGGTGCTGTTAATGAGGTTATATAAGATAACGGAGATCGTCAAAGATTATGGCTTGATGTCTATATTATTATTATAATTGTATTATATATAGATAGATTATTTTTACTATATTTAAATTATAGGTTACCATTAGTTAATATTGTAATCGATTGGTACTATACTTAGTGTGATGTTGGTTCTATATAATGAGTTAACATCTCACATCGAGGGGCATCGAATTTTATTGAGTATATTTGACAGGTGTAACATGCAGTTTAAAATTCATTTCCTTGCAGGAATTAGAGAGAAGCCTCAAAGCTACGTGTGAGGAGTTCATTATGTTGGTTACTAAGCTAGTTGTGGATCCTATGTTGTCGTTTGCCACCAAGGTTTGTCATTTCTAATGTGGAGAAAACTTGTCTCAGTATTATTGTTTTGGAATTTTGAGATTTCATGCATCAGGTATGACTGCTATTTTTGGACCATATAAAAACAGATAGGAATTTTTTATGAATACATTGACAAGGGTTTTGATCTAGTTTTGCAGAAAAAGGTGTCTTGGGAAGATAATGGGTGAGAAGCTTCAGCGGAAAAAGGAAAAAAAAATAAAGCAGATAATGTGTAGGCGTATGTTGCCAAACTAATCTACGGAAATAAACATATGATAAATAAGATTGAAGGAAAATAAGATTAAAGAAAAAATGTGCTGAACTGATAAACTGTATAAAGAGTTCAATGGAAAAGAAAAAAAATCCCGTGTTCATTGCAAATTTAGGAAAAGAATTGTTTTGGGTTAAGAGAACGAAGTGCATTAAAGAGGCATAATCCCCGCATTCATATTTTTTCTATGTAATGCTTTCCTTTGCTGATAATTTCTCTAGCATTTAGAGGCATAATCTTTAACTATGATTCAAACTCTATGCAGGTGACAGCTGTCAAAGTTGCATTGTCCTCGGGCAATCAAAATCAAAAGGTAGAGTCTGCTATTGCGAAACCACTCAAAGATCAAGCTTTTGCAACCCCAGAGAAGGTCGCTGAGCTCGTCCAGAAGGTATAATATTTGAATTAGTGGTTTATTGTTAGCTTTTTCCACCTTTAGTTGAATGTCTTTGTTTATCATGACTAGACCTCCTTTGCTTTTGAGTTCTGATTATTGAGATAGATAAAGCTATTCTTTAAGCATATCGAAATAATCTCATTTCCACTTTTCTTTGCTTCAAATGTTTACACTGCCGATATTTAGTGGTTACTTTTGATTAGTTGTATTTTTTTCTAAGGACTTGTGTCTATTTGATAAGCTTTTCAACTTTTAGGCCTTGAGTGGATATGAAACAATGTCCAGCACTAGTTGATGAATTGTGCTTTGTGCTGCAGGTCAGTTCTGCAATTCAACATGAGCTACCGAATGTGATGGGAAAAATGAAGCTTTATCTGCAAAACCCTTCAACACGTGCGATACTCTTCAAACCAATTAAGTATGATATCTTCTCGCTTGATACATCTATGTTTTCAAAATACGTTAACTTTTTCTTGGTTAGATGATATCTTCTCACTTGATACATCTATCTTTTCAAAATACGTCAACTTTTTTCTTGGTTAGACTGTCATCTGTGTTATTGTCCATGTGAGTGCTGATATGATGGCAGGGGTATTGGGTGTGAAAAATAGAGGTGGAGAGGGAGGTTTG